GGAGCGTGAGCAGGGGCTGATTACCCGTAACCACAGGAGAGACGGGATACAGAGGAGATGAAGGAAAGGGAGGAGCAGGAGGCGCTAGAGGCGCAGGTGGCGCAGAAGGAGCAAGCGGCGTAGGAGGCGCAGGAGATTGTGGTGGCTCTGGTGGGATACAGGAATACCACCCGTCGGCGTCAACTCTAAACGCGGGCCTAGCGGTAGGTTTCTTCTTGAACAAGAAGTGTATGCCGGTGAATTTCGCCATGGCTTTCGCAGCCTGGCGGGCGAGAACTGAAAACAGAAAGAAAGATGGAAGAATGGGTGATGAAATGAGAGATTCAAGGGGACCCCTTCAGCTTAGCGCCTCGGGATCCTCGTCAATGAATGAGGGGTAGCCCCTGCCTGAACCCGCAAAGGAGGGTTCATGGCACCAGACATGCTGCGCTGGCAAGGCATATTCCACCCCCTTCTAGAGGGTTTGGATGAAATGCGCCTTCCTGGCAGCGCATGTTAACGTGATTGGGCCGCACGGCAGATTTCGTGTCAGCACTGGCAGATGCGTTGCTCCGGGACAGGTTTTGTACAGTGGGAAATCGAATCGCGGCAAGTTTCGTCGGGATTCCATGCACGATCCCATACGCATGTCACATCTTTATATTCGCCTTAATGAGAGCTTCAATTTGGTACCAGGGCTGTCGTTTAGTTTTGGGGTACCCAGTCAAATCAGGGGGCCAAGGATAGTATGAACCTTCCTAGCAGCAAGGATGCAACCCTCATCATGAGGTCGCCGAGGTGTCAAGGTCTCACCACGCCTTCTCCTCCTCCCGCCACGCCTTCTCCTCCTCCCGCCACGCCTTCTCTTAGAGATTGGAAAAGATAGGCTGGCTTTCACCGAGCCATCATGATGGTGGTAACAGCTCCGGCGGGCGGACAAAAACATGTAGGACAGCTATGGGACTGGGCGTTGGGCGACCTGGTGAAGCAGCAACATGACGGCAGTTGGGAGTTGAAATCCATGCCGTATGGAGAATGGAGAGAGGTGCTGCTGACTTCCCTGCACAAACTCGGCTGGTTGGGGCTCGGAAGCTGGGGTAGCTCTTCCGCGCATCCCGATTCGAGAGAGTGGGAAGGTGGTATCGCAGAAGAGGATGCGGGAGCACCGGGAGGGTAAACGTGCGCAATCACATCGAATGCTGCACTGGGTTGGCAGGTGGAGCGGCTCAATCAACTATATTTTTTTTTTTTGGCATTCGGGATTCTTTGGTCACCCTGTCAAACTAAACTTATAGTCTGTTTAGGCTGTAGTGGGGTAATTCCTATGGGGTACAACACTTTTAGGTTTTCCTATTTGTAGCCACCTCTTTCCTACTTCATTCACTCTTGTTCATTCTGACATGGTATTACGAGCCTAGGTTAGGCACCTAGGACCGCTTACTACTATGGGCCCACCATTCCGCTAGAAGCGCCCTCGTGCGCCCTACCTTTCTTGCGCCCTCGTGCGCCTTTCTCTGCTAGTGCGCCCTCGCGCGCCCTGCCATTCACGCTGCCCGCGCGCCGTCCGCTAACCGAGTGCACGCAGCCCGCTAGCCGCCCGCGCGCAGCCCGCTTACCGTGCACGCAGCCCGCTAGCCGCCCGCGCAGCCAGCGCCGCCCGCCCGCAGCCCGCAACGGCCTCGTGCGGCCCCACGAGCAGCCCGCGAGCTGCCTGCTGGCCGGCCCTGCTAGCCGTCCCGCGCGCCGCAGCCCTGCACGCAGGCCACCGCCTCGCGTAGCAGCAGCCCGCACGCAGGCCGCAGCCCGCGCGCCGCAGCTGCTCGCACGCCGGCCGCTGTAGCCCGCGCGTCGCACGCTGCCCGCGCACAGCCACCGCCTACGTGCAGCTACAGCCCGCGCGCAGCCGCCGCCGCAAAACCGCGCGCCGGCCCGCCGTCGCACCGCCCTGCCTGCCCAAGTCGCGCCGCGCCGCCCTGCCCGAGCCACGCCGCCCTACCCGAGCCGCCCTGCCCTACTGTGCCGCGCTGCCCCACCTACAGCTACTGCTGCCCCTGTTCGTGCTGCTCCTGTTGTTCCTGTTGCTACTGCTGCCCCCATGGCTAGTCCCACCGTTCTCTCTTTCGATGCTGAGGGCCATCCGATTCTGTTTTATGCTTGGCTCGACGACCTGCACCTGTTCCTACAGATCACTGCTAAGGACGATATCTCGCTGTATGATCACGCGTCCGGATCCACTCTCGCACCTACTGAGACTGCTGACAGTACGGCTCGCTCACAGTGGCAGACTCGTGACGCTCACGCTCGCCTAGCCATTCGCAGCTACCTGCCGTTAGATGAGCGCGCACATTTTGGCCAGCACAAGACTGCTAAGGCAGTGTACGATGCTGTAGTCGCGCGCTACTCCTCGCTTGCCTCTGCTTCGATCGGCCGTCTCTCGCTCCCCTATCCTTTCCCCGATCTGTCAGCCTTTCCCACAGTCGCTGACCTCGTTACTCACCTCCGCACTAGTGACACTCGCTACCGTGCCGCCCTTCCTGCAGAGTTTCTCGCGAAGAACCCCCCACCCCGATGTACCTCACTCTCTACCACCTCGTCACCCGTCTTCCTGACTCTCTTCGCGCTAGTCAGGGACCACTTTCTCGCCCTTTGCCCCACCGAACTCACCGTTGACCTGCTCGAGAAGCACCTGCTTACAACTGAGGCTAGCATAGTCGCTGTAGGTGCCTCTCGCGGCGACCCCCGCACACCTTTCTTTGAGGGGTGTTCCCCTTCCCCCCTTCTCCCCTCTGTCGCCTCTGCTGCTGCTGTCGACTACCTTGGTGCTGAGGAATTCGGGGCTGCGTCTGCTCCTAGTGGGAGGCGCAAGGGCGGTCGAAGCAAGGGGGGCAAGGGTGGTGGACGTGACGGTGGGGGAGGCGGTGGTGGAGGCAGTGGAGGCGGTGGGGGCGGTGGCGGTGGTGGGGGTGGTGGCGGGGCTGGGGGGGTTAGTGGCGGCAGCGGGGGTGGTGGTGGCAGCGGTGGTGGAGGAGGCCGGGGTGGAGGCGGTGGTGGTGGCGGCAGTGGGCGTGGTGGCGGCGGCGGAGGTGGTGGTCGGGGTGGCCCGGCGCAGCGTGGAGGTTCTGGCGGTGTCCAACGCCAGCAGCAGCGTCTCGGCAAGACCCCGTCGCCTAAGCAGCTTTGTGAGTGGTACTCTCAGCATGGGGGGTCTTGGGGTGGAGGTACCTGCCCGTGTGTCATCCGCACAGGTGACCGCGCTGGTCAGACGTGTGGGAGACACCACACGCAGCAGCGCTGTTTTTCACGTCTCGACAACGCCTGGCGTGTACAGTTCCCTGACGCCTCCGAGCTGCCCCGCTGGGCTGATCTGCTTAAAAAGAACATTGATTTCTTTGCTCTAGACTTTGATGCTATCCTTGGTGCCATGTATGCATTGACTATTAGTGTTGAGAGTGACTGTTACCTGTGTGTCTCGCCCGACCCGGGCATTGAGACCAGTGAGGCTGCCGCTCTAGGTGCTAGTGCGTCTGCTGCCTCAGGTCCTGGTGAGGCTGCAGCTCTAGGTGCTGGTGAGTCTGGTGCTTTAGGTGCTCGTGAGTGTGCGCCTACTGGTACTGCGTATACTGAGGCACTGCACACCTTCACACTGGACTCAGGTGCTTCTCGCTATTTCTTTCGCGACCGCACTGCCCTCGCGCAGCTTCCTAGGCCTGATGCTGTCTCCCTGGCTGACCCCTCCGGGGGCCCAGTCCGTACGATCTCCACCACTGTCCTCCCTTGTCTTGCTGTCCCGTCCGGCACACTATCGGGTCTTTACCTCCCCTCGTTGTCCTACGAACTTGGTGGCGGGTTCTGCGCTCTAGGACGCGGGTGTTCACCAGTTCACCCTTGCCTATGAGCGTGTGACACAGTGCACGTGTGCCCGGACGGGTCGTCACCTGGCTACCTTCACTCGGCAGCCGGGGTCGGACCTGTACACATTGACCACTTAGTCCCCTCAGGTAGCTGTATCTGCGTCTACGTCAGGTCAGTTGTCGGCCCCTTGCTCGTGTCGCACCTTGTCGCACCGGACGGTCCTCTGGCACCACCGCCTTGGTCACCCTTCGATGCAGCGCCTTCGTGGCATGCACTCCCGTTACCTTGTCTCTGGTCTTCCTAGGTCAGTGCCTCCCCTGCCACCCTCCCCTGCCCCTCCTTGCCTTCCCTGTGTCGAGGGGCGGCTGCGCGCCGCCCCTCACTCCCCTGAGTTCCCCCTGACGGAGGCTCCTCTGCAGACTCTCCACATGGACGTGTGGGGCCCAGCCTGCGTCTGTGGACAGGGCGGAGAGCGCTACTTTTTGCTGGTAGTTAACGACCACACGCGTTACACCACGGTCTTCCCCTTGTGCACCAAGGGTGAGGTCCTTGATGTCTTGATCCCTTGGATCCGCGCTACCCGTCTCCAGCTGGAGTGGCGCTTTCGCACGGACCTTCCCACTCTACGACTGCACTCTGATAGAGGTGGTGAGTTTTCCTGCAATCTCTTGAGAGCCTTCTGTTAGAGGGAGGGCATTGAGCACCAAAACTAAACGACAGCCCTGGTCAAAGAGCTAAGAGCCAAATCATGAGAGCTAAGAGCTATGGAAGGATAGTATGAACCTTCCTAGCAGCAAGGATGCAACCCTCATCATGAGGTCCTTGAGGTGTCACATGCAAAATCCAATCTAGTTGGATTTTGCCTAAGTGTTGCAACGCTTGCAACTCATGCTAGAAACTTCTAGCCACCTCAATCCAAAAGTCAAAGTTGCCTTCCCTAACCACCCAACCAAAGATCCCTTTATAGTCATGTCCAAGTAATCACCAAATTAGATATGACCCCAAAATGTAATAAGAAATCCAAGTCTTGGAAATCTTGTAACTTGGGCGATCTTAGTTAGAATAAGGTGATCTTGGTATCGTTGAAAAGCTCTGGATTTCTCCTGCATGATCATTCGTTTAAACTTGGAGAAAAACACAAAGATGATAATGTCCAACAGCCATGCGCAATGACATATGCTCATGCAAATAATGCAAGCATAAATGGCACGAGCATTCGGCAGGACGTTAGGATAACATGCACTCAGAATGACGTGCATCCAACAGAAGGCATGGCGGGAAGAGGAGAAGGCATGGCGAGAGGAGGAGAAGGCGTGGTGAGAGGAGGAGAGGCCATGGCGAGAGGAGGAGAAGGCGTGGTGAGAGGAGGAGAGGCCATGGCGAGAGGAGGAGAAGGCGTGGTGAGAGGAGGAGAGGGCATGGCAGGAGGAGGAAAAGGCATGGCGGGACGACGGGAAGGCGTGGTGACAGGAAGAGAGGGGGTGGCGAGAGGAGAAGGTATGGCGGGAGGAGGAGAAGGCATGGTGGGAGGAGGAGAAGGCATGGTGGGAGGAGGAGAAGGCATGGTGGGAGGAGGAGAGGGGGTGGCAGGAGAAGGCATGGTGGGAGGAGGAGAAGGAATGGCGGGAGGAGGAGAAGGCATGGCGGGAGGAGGAGAAGGCATGGTGGGAGGAGGAGAAGGCGTGGCAGGAGGAGGCGAGGGGGTGGCGGGAGGAGGAGAAGGCATGGCAGGAGGAGGAGAAGGCATGGTGGGAGGAGGAGAAGGCACGGCGGGAGGAAGAGAAGGCATGGTGGGAGGAGGAGAGGGGGTGGCGAGAGGAGGAGAAGGCAGGACGGGAGGAGGAGAAGGCGTGGTGGGAGGAGGAGAAGGCGTGGCGGGAGGAGGAGAAGGCGTGGCGGGAGGAGGAGAAGGCATGATAGGAGGAGGAGAAGGCATGGTGGGAGGAGGAGAGGGGGTGGCAGGAGGAGAAGGTATAGGGGGAGGAGGAGAAGGCATGGTGGGAGGAGGAGAAGGGACAGGGTGGTGCAGAGAGGGAAGAGAAGGGCTAGCAAATGAGGGCAAACGTGGTAGAATTGAGGGCAAGCAGGGGGAGAAATGCGATTGTGCAAAGGTGAAAATAAGGCGTACAAGGAAGAAAACGAGGGCGTGCAAGGTGGGGAAGCGAGGGCAAGCAAGGAGGGAAAAGAAGGGCGTACATGTGGGGAAGTGAGAGCATTCCAGGGGGGTTCTTGAGGGCGTGCAGCGAGGATGCGGAAGCACAGCCGCTGCAAGAGAGTGATAGAGGGCCAAGGGCCTTATTTGAGTGCAGCTCGCGATAGGAGGCCGCCGTGAGTTGCGGAGAGGCAGCGAGAGGAGGCAAGGCGACGCCACAGGCTAGATGAGCATGCACGGGAAGGTGAGAGGACACGCGTGGAGGCGAGAGGAGGCCACGTGGGGAGGCAAGAGACGCGCGCACGTGGAGGCGTTAGGAGAGCGCGTGGAGGTGAGAGGAGCAGGCGCGGGGAGGCGAGAGGAGAACGCGCGGCAAGGTGAGAAGAGGCCGCGCGGGGAGGCGAGAGTCGAGCGCGCGGGAAGGCATGAAGAGGCCGCGCCGGGAAAGCGAGAAGAGAGCGCGGGGATGCGAGAGGAGAACACGCGGGGAGGCAAGAGGAGAATGCGAACTGGGAGGCGATAGGAGCAGGAAAGGGTAAGGCGAGAGGTTACGAAAAGGGGATTTCAGGCAGCAGGAAGGTTCTAATTGGATAGTGGGAAGGGGATCTCGGGCGGCAAGAAAGGGGGATGGGTTGGCGGGAAGCGGAGGTCGGGCGACGAGCGAGCGAGGCCTTGCTTCCACCTTCTCACCGCAAATTAAGCTAGTAGATGCAGGGGCGCGTACACACACTCTCGCATCTGTGCGACGACTCGGAGTGGCCGCGCTCGGAATGCGACCCGCTTGGCCTTGTTCCATCGCAAAGCGAGACCGCACGAAGAGGGGATTCGAGAATGAAACTTTGTCTGTTCTCAGCGTGCACGGAGTCTAAAATCAGGTACCTGGCGTGGCCTACTTACGGTGTGTGAATGTCTTTTCTAGGCAGGTGTGGTGCAAAACCTCCATCCCGTCAATCTGTCTCCTTTTGCATATCCTTAGGATTTGAACATGAGCGAGGGGCGCTTGTCGGGGGTTGGGACGAGGTTGTGGCTTGTTATTTGGTAACCACTTTCAAGTTCCTTAGGATTTTGAAAGCCCAACTTTCAAAAGTATACTGTTGCTTTAAAGCTCGCGTCTGAGATTTCCAACCTTTTAACACTTCGTTGGGTTTGCTCATCTATGATTGGGTAATGAATGACGAAATATTTGACGAGTGTGTGAAAAAAGTCTCAGAAATAGTAGGCAGAAAGTAAGAACAGGAAAGAGGGTTTGCACTAGCAAGCAGTTGAGTACATATAGGAAACCCTAATTTGGGCTATACTTGCTATAGAGTACCCCGCTACAGGCTAGACAGATACAACATTCTGACACTCCCCCATGGTTAAAGTGGGGTATAATCAGCACAGCAAGCAGTCATAGAGCAGGTTCACAAGTACAAGTAAAACTAGAGGCATTCATAAAAGGGCAAGTGAGGAGGAGGAGGGACTGTGAGAGGAGAGGAGATGGGAGGCGACAGCGGAAGCTGTAGACACACAGGAGCGGCTGGCTCAGTGGCTACCGAAGCAATGGCCCGGACTACAGGAGTAACTGGCTCCACGGCTACGCCGAGCGGCTGGAGCAACTGACCCACGGGCGACTGGCGACTCCCGGAGATTGTAGCCTCTGGACTACTGGCGCTGCAGACGACAAGACGTCTGCCTCCACTCAACCTCCCCCAGCTGTCCCACACCCCTTTCACACACCCCCTGCTGTTTCCCTAGCTCCACTCCCACGTCACCCCCCTAGCACCACTCCCTCGGCTCCCACACACCCACCCCCCTCAGCGACAGTTGCAGCAGTGGGAGACGGAGGAGGAGGAGGAGCAGGGGATGGCTCACACACCCGCCACTCCCATACTCGCCACCCCATACCCTAAACGCAGGTGGCGTACGGGTCCCTGGGGCGCTGTGACGGGCGACGGGAAGGGCGGCGTGCAGCCCCCGAGGCGCTTCGACGGGCGACGACAGGGAGGGGCGACGCGCGGGCCCTCAGGGCGTCGCGGCGGGCGACGGGCAGGGCTGCGCGCAGGCCCCCGGGGCGCTTCGACGGGCGACGGGGGGAGGGGTGACGCGCGGGCTCCCGGGATGCCACGACGGGCGACGGGAGGAGGGGCGACGCGCGGGCCCCTAGGACGCCACGACGGGCGACGAGAGGGGGCGACGCGCGGACCCCCAGGGCGCCACGACGGGCGACGGGAGGAGGGGCGACGCGCGGGCCCCCGGGATGCCACGACGGGCGACGAGAGGGGGCGACGCGCGGGCCCTCAGGGCGCCACGAAGGGCGACGGGAGGGGACAATGCGCGGGCCCCCGAGGTGCCACGACGGGCGACGAAACCGCCGCGTGTTCCCGGGGCGCGCGGCGGGCAGGAAACCGCCACGCGCCCCGAGCACATGGCGGGCAGAAATCCGCCACCCGCTTGAAGATTGCATGCCACGGGGCGCGCGACAGACAGTATGGCAGCGGAAGCAGGCGGGCCCACAAGCCAGGAGCGTAACCGCTCTGATACCATGTCAAAGAATAAGAACGAGGAATATAGAACACGAAGCACAGCGAACTTCCAAACACACAAGGCCAAAACAAACCAGGGTGGGTTGGTTTGTGTGGGAAACGAGCCAAGGGGGACATGTTTGGTCCTAGGTTCTGTCAACGTTGAGTTCAGAGTCTCATATTTTCGTGAGTTGTAAACGCTTGGTGAGCACGGGGAACTGTGCGACAGCCAACTTTCCCAACCCACCCCTTTCTTTGGTGTGCTTTGCAACAAACTCTGCTGTTACGCGATTCCAACCGTTCAACACTTGGTTGGATGGCAGAAATATGAGACGCGAGCTTTAAGGAGGTTAGGAAAATCCAAACCAGGTTGGCAAGTGCCACCAACTTTCTAGATGTGGGTGGAACGGGTTGGGAAAATGACGAAGGTGAAAGCTGGGTTGGGAGATAACTTTGTGAGCCTATTTGTTGTGGTCTCTCCCGTCCTCCTCCTCTACCGGATTTTTCTTGTCTCTCTAATTTCTTCTATGTAAGGCAGACATGGATTTCTATTGGTTATAGACGTATATTGATTTGCTCTTGTGATTGGTTGGAAATCCAAGCCAGCTAATTGATTTACTGTTACGAGTGCAATTGAGTGAACGAACGAGAGTTGCACTATCGAAGCAATAGTACAATGAGTGAAGGCATGAGCGAAGAATATATAGCGAAACTACAGTGGTAACGGTAATGGTCTGTGGTTGTCACGCGACGGGCCTGGGACTGAGGTTGGGAAAAGTGTCGAAGCGGAGGCCCGGAGCGCGGGTTACCCGTCGAGCCGTGAGGTCGGGGTGCGACGTGCGAAGGTGGCAGGGCGGATTGTCGATGCGAGGATTGCGACTGGTAACGGTGCTGACTGTGGTGCTATAGTGATGTACGCGTTGAGCAGGGATGCGAAGTAAGGAAAGGGAATTTTCCTTACACTACCCCCCCTCCTCAGGAGGTCCTCCTTACGAAAGTGCGTGTACATCCCTGAAGTTTCGGCTGCGCAGATACTCGGTGAGGACGGGGTGGTTTTTTATTCTGTCCAGGGGAACACAATTGTCTTCGGTGGGTGTACAGTCTTTCCAGCGGAGTAGGAACTCAATCCTTCGGGCTCCTCGAGGGTTACGAACTGTGTGGCTCAGGATTTTTTCGGGGGTGATGATTGGTTCAGTCGGCGGTCGTGTCATGCTGGCTGGGCGATTGCGTGGGAGATAGCTTGTGGACGAGACGTAGGGGCGAAGGAGGCAGATGTGGAACGAGGGGCTGACGTACCAATCGGCAGGGAGGAGGAGGTGGGCGGTGACAGGTGTAATCATGTGGCTTATGCGAAATGGCCCGCAGTATCGGGGGCGGAGTTTCGGTGTGATGGGCAGTCGGAGATTTTGGGTGTCAAGCAAAACTAAGTCGTCGGGCTGGTAAGTGACATGTCTGCGGTGGCGGTCGGCGTTGCGTTTAGCGATGATGTTAGCTTTTTTAATTGCGTCTGCTGCCCTGGTCCGTGCTGCTTGCAAAATTTCAGCGAACTGTTGCGCGCGTGGAACCGGGTTGTCGAGATTCTGGGTCATGGGTACTTTTGGGTTTTGTCCGTAATTCAGGTAAAACGGTGACTGTTGGGTCATGGCGGATGGGTGCGTTGTTGTATGCAAATTTGATGAGTGGCAGTTGCAATTCCCACGCGTTTGGGTCGTCGCACGTGGCCCGGATGAGTTGTTCCATGGTCTGATTTGTCCGTTCTGTCTGTCCGTCTGTTTCGGGGTGGTACAATGAACTAAACTGTAGTCGCGTGCCGAACTGCTGCCACAGGTTCCGCCAGAAGTTGCTGGTGAATTTCGTGTCTCTATCGCTGACGATTGATGCAAGTATCCCGTGCAGTCGAACGCCGGTAGAGATGAAGAGGCGGGCTGTTTCTTTGGCTGTGATTGATTTTTTGCAGGCTATGAATTGTGCCATTTTCGTCAGTTGATCGACGACGACCAGGTGTCAGAATCCCAACCACTAGACCATTGGGATAAAAGGGCTTATTAAGTAGCGGGTCAGAGTGCGCCCATAACCCCCCCAGGCAAACGCGCCTGTAACCCCCCGTAGGATCAATCAGGCATCCACAGTGCAGATCTACTGACACCCCCCCACACTGGGAGGCCCAGGACTGAGCACAGCGGCAACGGCCTACATGTGCATACACCGGGATTCGAACCCGAGACCACTCTAACACCATGTCAGAATCCCAGTCACTAGACCATTGGGATAGAAGGGCTTGTTTCAATAGCGGGTCAGTGCGCCCATAACCCCCCAGGCGAACGTGCCTGTAACCCTCTCCAGGATCAATCGGGCATCCACAGTGCAGATCTACTGACACCCCCCCACAACGGGAGGCCCAGGACTAAGCACAGCGGCAACGGCCTACATGTGCATACACCGGGAATCGAACCCGAGACCAATCTCATACTATGTAAGAATCCCAACCACTAGACCATTGGGATAAAAGGGCTTATTAAGTAGCGGGTCAGAGTGCACCCATAACTGTGAGGATCTAGGATCGCGTTCGGAAAAGAGAATGAGAATTGAGTCGAATTGAATGTGTTGAATCGAATGTCCACCTGGGTACAACACGAGGCTATATATAGGCTCGACACAAGGCCCCGTAACCAGGTGTTACGCGAAGGTTCCGCGGGTCGCGAAGCGTCCCGAACAGATCCTTACCAAATTCGGTAGAAGGCAATTCGGTGACAACCGAAAAGCCAGAATTCGGTGCACGCAACCTAGCTCGGTGCTATAACTATAATAAAATATAGGAAAGCACCTAGCCTAGGAAATCAAGCAATTCATGCATGCATATAATTATCCTATGCTAGAAATAGCATGATAAAGTAAAGGCAAGCAAGCATAGCTGATCTCCAACTGCTACTGAGTGATCACGACGCTAACGATCGGCATACTGCTTCTGGGAGTTCTGCATCGTGGTGAGACGTCGCTGAGTCTTCTCCCATAGCTGCTG